TACAGTATCACCTTAGCACCACAATACTAAGACCAGGAACAAACCAGTCCAACACACTCAGATAGATATGTTTGTGATTATATGATTCGTTAGTCGCTTTTTGAATACATTTAATGAGTCTACATTTTTTATTTCCGAGGGTATCTTATTAGAAAGGCGCGAACCTTCGCATGTAATTGTGGTCTGGCCGTACTTTGTTCGAGTTTTGGGCACAACAATAAATCTTGCACGTCGAGTGCAGATGCGCCCAACTTTTTTTCGCTTGGTGAATTGCAGATCGGTGCGGACCTTCTTGTTCATGGATTTGCGAATAAAGATACATGTGCTGTAGATGTATAATTGTTTGATATTCATCAGATTCGTATCTCGGAAAATTTTTTGAAGTTGACGTTCGGAAATTGTAGTTGAATAGCATTTTTATGATTTTATTTTGTAGGATTTGTAATTTGTTTAATCTAGTACTGGCAGCGCTTCCCCAGACCTCGATGAGATATAACAGGTGTGGTTTAACTAGGGAATTATATATCGTGAAACGTAGTTTCTGTGGTATGTATCGAAAATTAATCCGAAGTAAGGCGTGAAGTGACATTATTTTGGTTATTAAATATTTAATGTGAATTTTCCATGTTAAATAGATATCCAAATAAAGGCCAAGACATTTTTCATTAGTTTCTTCTTGCAATGGTGTATTGTTTATTTTAAGAGGTGAGAAATTAGGTATAGGTTTATTTTTTGCTTTAAATACTATGTAGCTAGTTTTGGAAATGTTGATAGTAAATTGTATTGTAACCAATCGCGAAGAATGTCAAGGTCCTGCTGGGCTTGAGAGACAAGATCATGAATCGAAGAGCCAAAGTAAAAGAGACAAGTGTCATCGGCGTAAAGTGTGATATTGCCATTCAAGCCCAACTCATGCATATTGTTAATATAGACTAAAAAGAGCAGAGGACCCAATATTGAACCTTGTGGAACTCCATAGGTTATGGGTTGTGGGGGACTTTGAGAACTACTGTCTATTTTAACGACCTGGGATCTATTCGTGAGGTAAGACTCAAACATTTTAAGGCTATGCCAGTAATACCAATGACTTCCAGTTTTTTTTTAAGAGCAATTTATGACTTACGGTGTCAAACGCCTTTTTTAAATCGATGAATACTCCTAGTACGATGTTTTTCTTATCAATATTTTGTTTGATTTTAGTTACCAGATCAATTGTAGCTGTGAGTGTATTACTTTTAGAACGAAATCCGTACTGTCTATCAAAAAAGAAATCTATAGAACCTAAGTAGTTATGTAGCCGTGTATGTAAGACTTTTTCGAGAATTTTTGATAATACTGGCAGTACGGAAATTGGTCAATAGTTGCCGGGTTCTGTGTTTGGTCCCGATTTGTAAATAGGTGTTACTTTGGCTATTTTAAGTCTCTGGAGTCTTTTAAGAGTCTGGAAATGATCCGTTTTGTAAAAGTTTGTTAAAGTTTTTCGTTAATGAATTTATTATTAAGTCCTTCACACACTTGATAATAATAATAATAATAATTTATTTTTCTCTCTACATTAAATTTACAATATCGAATTTTAACAAAAAAAGGCACAAATTAATGTCAGAGACTGATGCCTAAACTAGGCGACGAACCTGTATTTCAGGTCATCAGGTCTCCCTCCCAGTTAAACAAATACAAAAGTATGTTATCTTGGAATACATATTTTAACAATAATGATACGTTATAATCCATTTGCGCGTATATACATAATTTAACAATAATGCTACCGTGTGTGTGTGTGTGTGTGTGTGTGTGTGTGTGTGTGTGTGTGTGTGTGTGTGTGCGCGTGCGTGTGCGTGTGCGTGTGCGTGTGCGTGTGCTGAGTGAATGCAAAAATTACAACATTTACACATGTGATGTAAAAAAGATCTTCCGTATATTTATAGTCCGTCTTCAGTAACCATTCATGGATACATTTTTCAGCTTTTATTTTAGGTAGGAAGTGAATATTAAGTTCCTTGTTAACTTTATTATACAGGTATCCGCCAAGATAGCAATAAAATCTTCTGGAAAAGTAGGTACAATGGTCATAATGAGAAGTACACACTCGGTCTTTGCGTCTCGTGTGCTGTGTATTTTTTTGGTCATATTTTAATTGTGCATGTTTTTTTAGTACTGTGTATATAATAAACAGTTGCCGGACTGTTAGAACTTTGGAAATTTTATAAAGTTGACTGGTTGGAAATTTAAATGGAAGAGAGTTACTTACTTTTAAGATTAACCTTTGTGATCTTTCGAGGGGTAGAAGAGCTGATTTAGTAGCCCCACCTCAGCACGTAATACAATATATTATTAAAGATTGGCATAGAGCAAAATAGACAGATTTAATAGTATTAGAATCTGCTACGCAACGGAGTTTTTTAAAAATATATGTTAATTTCCGTATCCTATTTGAAAGTGAATAAATATGCTCATGAAATGTTAGCTTATCATCCAACAAAATGCCAAGGTATTTAATTGAATTCACTTTTTGCAAAGGTGTGCATGAACATGTCAGACAATAAGGAAAATTGCAAGAATGAGCAGTAATAACATGGTCCGTGCAGGTTGCATATTTATTATTATGTTTGGAGAAGGACAAGTACTTTGTTTTATCCACGTTGAGGGTTAACACATTATCGCGTAGCCATTTGGACACTCTGTTTAAGCCAATCTGAGCGAAGTTAAATACATCTGGCCATGAATCACCAGTAAATAGCAGTGCTGTGTCATCAGCAAACGTAACTATTTTTCCGTTCATTAGTTTCAGTTTGCAGAGGTCATTAATGTAAAGAAAAAACAAAGTAGGGCCAAGAATACTTCCTTGGGGAACACCATAGCAGATGGGAAGCTCATCACTAACATGTTTATCAATTTTTACCAACTGTGTTCTATCTGTAAGATAATCTCTGAAAAGCTGCAACGGTACACCCCTTATACCAAGCTTCTCCATTTTATGCAACAATATGGGAACAGAGACCGTGTCAAAAGCTTTAGCCAAATCTAAAAATATTCCTATTGTTTTCTTTTTTTTCTCGAGGCTAAGTACAATAAATTCAATTAGTTCATGAACCGCATCAGCTGTAGATTTACCGGAACGAAAACCAAATTGATTTGGCGAAAGTACGGAATTTTTATCAAGAAAATTTTTCAACCTATTATTCATCACACGTTCTAGTATTTTAGATAGTGACGGTAATATAGATATTGGTCTATAGTTACTTACACAGTCTCGGTCTCCATTTTTGTAAACAGGATGAATGAGGGATTTTTTAAAAGCTGTTGGGAATATGCCATAAGTGAGGGCCAGGTTACATACGTAGGTAAGTGGAGGTACAATAAATTTTTTGTTTTGTTTTATGAAGCCACCGGATATTTTATCCCAGCCAACGGCACAGTCACTTCTAAGATTATTTATTTCAGATGTAATTTCAGCTTCATCAGTAGGCAAAGGAACCATGGAATGGGCTAAGCTATCAATAGTAGGAGAAAGATTCAATTCAGAGTTCTCAAGAATTTTTTCGGCCAGTTGTCTACCAATATTAGCGAAATACGTGTTGACATTATTAACTGATTCTTTCGGCGTGGTACATGTTGATAATAGTTGAGTGGAAGATGTTTTTGCGGCATTTCTGTTGGTTATGCTGTTTATTACCTCCCAAAGCCTTCTATTATTTGCACCTGCATTTCTAATTTGATTTCTTTCATATTCATTCTTGACTTTTTTTTAGAAGTTTGTTGCAATAATTTCTATATCTCGTAAAAGATAACTTCATTTTCCGGCTCTTTTTTATTTTTTTTATGTAAATTATCCCTATGCTTCATACAACGTAAGAGTCCTGGAGTAATCCACGGCTTTATAATCTTTTTACGACTAGATAAAACAATCTTCTTAGTATTGGCGTCTAAGACTTTTTGTAAGAACTGGACAAGACAATTAGCGGCAATATTCGGATTTTGTGTAGAGTAAACTAAATCAAAATTCATTTTAGCAAGATCAGTTGTAATTCCACTATAATTTGTACGAAATATTGTCGTCATTTTGTGTTGTTTTTGGACCTTCTTATCGAGAAAAAATGCTACAGTCTCATGATCAGTTAACGCAGAATTTACAACAAGAGTTTTAGCTGGGAGTTTGGTTTTTAGCATAACATGATCTAGGCAGCTATCTTTACGGGTAGGAAAAGTATGAGCAGGTAACAAGTTAAAGCAGTCACATTTAAGTAGTTAAGCTTATGTAGGTCTTGTTAAGAGTCAATAATATTGATGTTAATATCTCCTACAAGAACAACATTATTAACATTCGCTGTTTTTACAAGCAAAGCATCTAGTGAATTTATGAATTCAGTACAATCTCTAACCGCCGGAGAACGATATAAAGCTAAAATAACAATATCTTTATTTATCTTTAAAAGAAGACAATTTGCGTTTCGGAAGCAAATTTCTTCAAACGATGCATTAAGATCACTGTTTATATATACGACAACGCCATCATTTTGTGTGTAGTTGTTTTCTGTACTAAATGTCTTATAACCGTTAATAACAGGGAGTGTGCGAACACTTTGCAGCCAACACTCGGTTAAGACAATAACATCCCAGTGCACTTTCGTTCTCACAATTAATGAAAGAAACTCAGAGAAATTGTGTGATTTACCCCTGATATTTTGACTTAAAATTTTAAGGGACGTTCTAGGGCTTGGATCTAAATGGAAATAGTCCTCAACATCGCAAAGAGCAGATTCAGAAACCGAATAGGAGTCCAACTCATTTACTATTTTATCTAATTTATTTATCATTCAAATGTATATAAAAACATTTGTCCAAATCGACAATGCACCAAAAAACCGCAACACCTACACCAATAAACCACAGGCTGTTAATATATATCTTATCACATAATGAGACTATGTAAAATATTAGTAATGTTCTCCTACTGGCTAACCTATTTATAACATCCCGTAAAAACCTTTATACTAATATTAAAAAACCTTCGTACTAACACCATCTAGACCGACACTACTGTTTGAATCAAGTTTATTAATAATATTAAGGATTTCTTCTTCAGTGCATGGCTCTAAACTATTCATTTGCAAATTTTGAAGAAGTGGTTTTGGTAGTGCGTGAGTATAATTTACATGGAACTGAATAGGTATTTCGTCAGCTAAATATGGCCCTATAGTAGCGAAAAAGTTATTAAATATATTGCATATCTCATGAGGATCCGTAACTTCTATTGAATTAACAATAAGTTTGGGAGGAGCGCATCTTTGTTTAAATTTATTATTTGTAAGAGTATTGAGTAAATTCCATAGCTTTTTGGGCTTTCCACTGTATTTGTCGAATTCCTTCTTATAATATGACTTCTTTGTTTCCCGTATCAACTTGATTATTTTATGTCTTTTGGTGATAAACTTTTCTCTCAGTTCTTCTCTTTCTGGGTTGTTCTGTTGTTCTGTCCACATCACGTTTCTTTCATTGATCTCTGTTATGATACTTTTGTTTATCCATTCTTTTTGTGGTTCATTCATAATTTTGGTCTTTATTACTTTGCTTTCTTCCATACATTTTTTTTATTAGTTTTTCCAGTCTTGTGAAGTCATCGTTGGATTCTTGTATTCCTGCTTTCTCCATTGATTTATGAAGTTCTTTATAATTTATTGCTTCGTATTGATAATATTTTCTTGGGGGCGGTTTTGTTTTCTTGATTTCCACGTAAAGCTGTCTATGATCAGAAAAAGACGAGTTGACATATACCATATGAAAGTTTTCTTCCTTTAAGTTGGTGCTTACATGATCTAGGATAGACTTTTTTGTATGTCCTTGTCTGGTGTAATATTTTTTTGTGATTTTATTTATGATCTTGTATCCAGTCTGATTTAGCAGATCACTGTATGACTGACGCTCAAGGTCGCTCAGCAAGCTATGGAGAAGGCTATGCTCGGAGTTTTTCTGCGTGATAGACTCAGATATGAGGATATCCGCAGTAAAACCAGAATGACCGACATAGCCCAACGGATTAGTAAGATGAAGTGGCAATGGACCGGCCATATAGCTCGAAGAACCGATAACCGATGGGGAAGAAAGGTTCTCGAGTGGCAGCCTCGTACCGGTAGGCATAGTGGAGGGCGACCCCCCACTAGATGGAGTGACGACCTGGTAAGATATGCAGGAAGTCGATAGATGCAGGTGGCTCAGGACCGTGCTTTGTATCATTACTTGGGGAGGCCTATGTTCAGCAGTGGACTTGTGAAGGGCTGTAATGATAATATATATATATATATATATATATATATATATATATATATATATATATATATATATATATATATATACATATATATATATATCGCTCGCAATGATCACAAGGTCATCAGCATAATCCAATGTGTCAATGCTATTTTGTACAATAGTTGGTCAACCGCAAGAGCCCAAGGAAGGGTTGACAAAAAATATCTTTGTGGGCAGCCTCTTGTAGTTGCAACCTCAATCGAAGCTTGAAAAAGCGCTATATTTGTGTTCGAAAAGCATCGACTTCACCTATCTGATGATTGTGGGGTCAACATTTTTAGATGTCAGGCAATCAGCAGTAATGTGGGGCTACTGTCATAGGCGTCCTCAATATCTAGAAAGGCACAAAGAGCTATTTCTTTATCCTCTTGTGCTTTTTCGACCTTGTAAATGACACTAATCAGTTTTTTTTTTTTATTTTGGTCTAAAGGACTTTGGTAAAGCGTAGTCCTTTCTACTAGCCTTAGGTATACATAGAACTTTGACAACTGTCCATCGTTCTGGAATTTAACCCCAGGCAAAACTTGCTCTGAAGATTTTCACCAGATAGGGAAGAAGGAAGTCAATACCCATCTGCATTTGGATGTGAATTATTCCATCCTCCCCGCTAGTTTTAAATGGTTTAAAGGAGTTAACAGCACACTGCACCAACACAACTGTTTGGCCTTATTTTATCTTTGCAGCCCTACACCAGTCCTCATTACAAGGCCTTCGTAGGGCTCTGAAAGAATTTAAGGCTGAAGTCTTGTTTGACCCTGGGAAATGGGTTGACGCTAGTAACTCCAATGTTTCTGTTTCACTATTAGTGAAGTTAACATCAGGCTTTTTAAGAAGCCCGATCTGATTAGGTTTCGCTTTCGATAGCATTTTGTGTAGTCTTGCACTGCGAGGCAAAGACTCAACTTTCTTTCAGTTACTATCTCCGTCGCTAACTCCAGACCTTCAATCGTTTTGATGCTTTTAGGAAACTTTTCCCAATTCCTCCTTAGGCTATCTCTGTAGAAATAGGAGGTCGCTTTTGGATCCCTAAAAGCAACGGTTCATATGTAAGTGATACTCCAATCACAAATTTAATGTGTTTGTGATCAGACATCGAGTTTTCACTGCATATAATGATATACCACCACCACCATAGAATGCCACACTGGAAGGATATTTGCTACACTTAGCAGGTTAACACGCTGCTGTTCATCTGCTGTATTATTTCCATATGGCGTCTCTTACGACACCTACACCATAAAAAATTTTCTGATTGTTCATTCCAAACATCATGATTTTAGGTCGAGGGGATTTGATGAGTGAGTTTCCAAGTATCAAAATATACAGAGTTACAGATTAAGTCGACCCAGATCCTTTAGGGGGTTGTAGTTTGCTTAATTACTGACTGATTCGACTATAAAACACCATAGCCCAAACTTAACCGTTTTCAAGATATTAGATATTTAAGTTTTTTATAAAAATTGCCAAATTTTTGTGTCTTATACTATTTTTTTTGTAATTCATGCATCTTGTTTGTGTAGTAGATAAGTTTTTTTTTATTTTAAATACCAAGATCTTAGGTAAATAAACAATCTGGATCGTAGAAGACGATTGATAGTTGAAAAAAGAAATAAATTTGTACAAAGTATTTTTTATTTGAGGATTATTAAAAAAAATCTATGGCAGGTATGTTGCAGATTTACTTAAAATATCTCCGTGTCTATTTTTGTATAGATTATGAAAAAAAATAACAACTTCATTTGATTATTTAAAAAAAAGTTATGAACGATTGTATTCGTGATTATATAAGTACGTTTATGATCGCATTTAAAGTCATGAAACTATATGAAATCTTGAGGTGAGATATTTTCCATATTTTTCTAAAATACGAAGATTAAAAAAAACATCTAAATCGGATGATTTTTCGATTTTCTAGAGCCGAAAAACGAGGGGACAGCTAAGGTATAAAATTACCGAATTTCTTACTATCGTTGTATAATTAATATAAATATATCGTGAAAAGTTCACTATGAAATCTACTTCAACTCAGCCGATATATTTCTGCCAACTTATCCTTAGACTTTGTATGGGTTTCGCAAGGAATAATAACTGTTTTCGTTTAATTGACACTTAGTTTGTGTCACGGGACATACACGAAAGGCATTGCTACGATAGTTTTATTTATAAAATAAGAAAGCCAAACTAGATTCCACCTGATGGTAAGTGGATGTTATGGCCCACAGACATCTACAATTTATCCTAGATTAAAAACAAAATGCAGATGCGTTGACAAGAATTAAGATGGAACGCCTCGTTTCAAGTAAATGTCTTCGGTTTTCTATACTTATCGGACGAAACACAGCAGCATTAAGCTGCTATTTCACACTGGTATTCTGTGAGAGTGTGGTCCTACCCCGGCCGAGCCGACCCACTCGTGCTACAACCATATAGCTGCAGTGTCGCTCTACCACGTGTGGAAACTTACAATTGGACCCGGTAACTGGCATTGTTGTCTAGATCTAGGAAACAGTCGTGCAAAGCCGGGGCTGATCGTTAGATCGATCGATCGACATCGATTGTAGCTAACGATGTCATTTTTTTAGTAAATCAGAACATACGAGTTTACTTACTCTCATATTTAGCATAGTATAAAGTGACCAAAGATGACGACTTTACATTTTTATTTCCACGCTTGAATTTCAATAGATTTCAACACATTTCAATAGATTTTTTGCCTTATGCGAAAATTAATTATGAAAAAGCAAAAGAAGTATAATATTGACTCAATTTATGTTGAATTGTAAGCCCTCTCTATGCATGCGTATATACAGTACAGACGGCAGAAGTGACTTTGTTTTATACTATGTAGAGAAATACTTGTTAGCACTTTTACACAATTTTTTAAGGCGCTTTTATAGTTTTAAGTAGTTAACATAGTACTAAACTACATCATGCACCTGCAGATATTTATTAGCGAATATTCTCTTAAGTGTGCGAAGAGATGTTGCATCTCTTTGCGTATTTTATCGCATCTATCACGGGGAGTGCTCTGAGGAATTGTTCGGATTAATCCCAGCCGCCAAATTTCGTGAACGCACTACACGGCAAACGTCCCGATACCATCCACACCATCTGGATGCTTGGCGGTCCACCACTGTACGTTTCAAAAGGAGTTTTCTTCCGCGTACAACCTCTCTGTGGAATAATTTACCACCGGTGATTTTTCCGGACCGATACGACCTGGGGACCTTCAAGAAAAGGGCTTACTCCTTTCTAAAGGGCCGGCAACGCACCTGCAATTCCCCTGGTGTTGCGGTTGATCATGGGCGGCGGTAGTCACTTAACATCAGGTGAGCCACATGCTCGTTTGCCCCCCTCTTCTATAAAAAAAAAAAAAAAAAAGTGTTTGCAGGCAGTAATAAAGGCGCTATCCACTTTATAAGAATGAGTTAAACTATTTGACAGATTACATGGCGGGCAAGTTCATTTGTTAGGAAAATGTAATGTTTGTTTGGAATAAACCAAGCTACGTAAATAGAAAAAGGTTTACAAGGGAATTACGTTAACTGCGGCCGGAGGTTGAAAAAAAAAAACAAATTTACTTATAAAATATATTTAAAATAAAATTACAAATTATGTTACTATAGCTAATTAATATGACAGAATGAGCCTCGTGTAAATGAGTACGTGATATTTTATACATCCGGCACGTGGCTTGAACTGCTGCGCCTGCATTCCTGTCCGTTTACATAGCAACTGTTCTAGGTACATAGTCAGCGATCTTCATATCATAGGTATATGTAACTCCTTCACCCTCAGAACGGCAACTATTTGAGTATGTTCAGGGAAAATGTTGCTGGAATTTCGGAGTTTCCATGATCTTCTGAATTAGGTGTTGGTGATTGCGCTGCTTTGCTCGTTTCCTTTCTGCATCTTGATATGTAGCGACGGGTGGCCAGTACAAAGATAAGGATATCTCCACTCGATAATATGATATAAAAGGGAATTGTCGTATGATATAATGTGTCACTTATGGCACGTAGTTGTACTGGTGATTGCATGAGAATTTTGTCTTGGATGCTGTGTAATCCTTGGAGATAGATTGAGTTTAGGTGGATGCGGGTAGATGCTGTAGCTTGTTCCGGAGATCTGAAAGGTATTCCAGTGAGCTTTAGAGGTTGACCTTTTATCTCATTATTGTTGTTGACGATGTTGAACTCGGCAGTTTTAAGAAGACAGCTGGCTGGAATCGTAATGAGAT